GATGGAAGAAGTTCCTGGCTCACGTTGGACCCGGATTTCTTGTGTCCTTGGCTTACCTTGACCCTGGGAACTGTAAGAGAGTCTCTCTCTCTCTCTCTCTCTCTCTCTCTCTCTCTCTCTGAAACTAAGTAGTCAAAGATATCAAACTAATGCGGTCGAATTCTATGGCAGTGGAGACGGACTTACAAGCCGGAGCTAATCACAAATACGAGGTAAGCTATAGCTGAACATGGAAATGTTTGCATCTGAGAGGAGGCTCACCAGTTGGGAGTCTCTTTCAGTGGCCATGTTTGCATGTGAGAGAGCTATCTAAGGGGATTATATGTTTGATATTTTCTCATATAAATAAATACTGTAACAAAATGAGATTGTTGTGTAACAATTGTGGAATGAATATATAGCTCTTCTCTCTTCATTCATGTCTTTGCTACTACTAGTTTCCTTTTCATGTTTTCTTTCCCTTAATTGGACTGAAACATATTGTGGAAATCCTCCAAAAACAGCTCTTGTGGGTTATACTAATCGGTCTGGTTTTCGCGCTGATAATACAATCACTTGCAGCTAATCTCGGGGTGACTACAGGTACCAGAAACACAGCATTTCTTCCTTTCTCCTTTGTTTTGCTACCACAGAAGATGCTAATGTGTGTTGGTGATGTTGTCAATCACAGGGAAGCACCTTGCGGAGCTGTGTAAAGCTGAGTATCCAAGGTTTGTCAAGTACTGTCTTTGGGTGGTAGCAGAGTTGGCTGTGATTGCTGCTGACATCCCTGAAGGTTCTTCCTGAGCTCAAGTTGTTCTTGTAAGCTTTTTTCTTCTGTTAGTGATTTGAGCTTATGGGAGTGTGTGTATGACTTCTTGTGCAGTGATAGGAACAGCCTTTGCTCTCAACATCTTGTTTCATATCCCATTGTGGGCAGGAGTTCTGATCACAGGGTTGAGCACTCTGTTGCTTCTTGGACTTCAGAGATATGGAGTAATTTGAATCCTTACTCAGACCTCTCACTGCTTCTGATGAATTGATTCCTCCTAAAAAAACACATTAAGAACTGAAATCTATACTTGATCCCCAACTAAAAGACACAAATTAAAGATATCATAGCAGTTGTGTGAATTCTATTTCCTTACCAGCAGAAGAATGAGATCTACTTGCAATTCAAATGATTCAGAATACTGATTCAACTATTTGTCATTTATTTTCATATCAAATATGCAAAATAGGAAATGAATCCTTGTTACAATCTTCTGTATGTCAAATCTGAGATGCAAGTCCTAATAATACTGAAACAATTATCTTTTATAAAGCAAAAAGATAACAAAGATGGCAGTTCTGTTCTTGAGAAATTTTAGAATCTTAAACCTGGGATTAAGAGACATTATGCTCACCTTATACTACCTGCAGGTAAGGAAACTTGAACTTTTGATATCTATCCTGGTCTTTATCATGGCTGCCTGCTATTTTGGAGAGTTGAGCTATGTGAAGCCTCCTGCATCTGAGGTGATGAAAGGACTCTTTGTGCCTAAGCTTAATGGCAAAAGTGCCACCAGTGATGCCATTGCTCTCTTGGGTGCCCTTGTCATGCCGTGAGTGCAACAGTATTCTCACCACCAGATTACTTCTCCATGATTGTTTGCTATTGCTTTAGTGTTTCACTAAACAGATTCTCCACATGCAGGCACAATCTATTTCTGCATTCAGCTCTGGTGCTGTCAAGAAAGACTCCTCCCTCTGTCAAAGGAATCAATGTATGTCTGACAAGAATTGCAAGAAAATTAGAGTTCTATTGTAGGTTTTAGTGATGTTTTGTGTTGTTTGTGTAGGATGCCTGTAGGTACTTCCTTGTGGAGAGTGGCTTCGCATTATTTGTGGCATTGCTCATCAACATAGCTGTTGTGTCTGTCTCTGGAACTGTGTGTGCTGCTGATAACCTCTCTTCTGATGATTCTGATAGATGCAGTGATCTTACCCTCAACTCAGCCTCTTTTTTGCTCAAGGTTTGTCCTTTCAATCAAAAACAGTTCTTGTTCTGTGCCACCAAAGTGAAATAGAAAAACACTGACAAAAATCAACACATGTTGAGATGCTTTTTCATGACCATTCATCAAAATCTATGTTCACCTCAGAATGTTTTGGGGAAGTCAAGCTCAATAGTGTATGGGATTGCATTGCTGGCCTCTGGACAAAGCTCCACAATAACAGGAACATATGCTGGCCAGTACATCATGCAGGTAAACATCATGGCACTAATTTGAATACAAATATGATTTTTTTTTATAGTTTTTTGATCCATAATCCAATATGCAGGGCTTCTTAGACATCAAGATGAGAATGTGGCTTCAAAACCTCATGACAAGATGCGTTGCTATAGGTCCCAGCCTCATTGTCTCCATCATTGGAGGCTCTGCTGGAGCAGGAAAACTCATAATCATAGCATCGGTACCCTCAACTTTACTTCATTTTTGTCATGTTTTCACTGAAGACAAAGTATTTTCTTTACCATGAACTCTGACATTCCATCAAATCTACCAAATTGTGCAGATGATACTATCCTTCGAGCTGCCATTTGCTCTCATCCCTCTTCTCAAATTCAGCAGCAGTCAAACAAAGATGGGACCTCACAAGAACTCAATCTATGTGAGTACCTCTCTTTGCTGATCCAATATATACATCAAGCTGCTGCAACTTATAATCCAAACGCAGGTCATCGTGGTTTCCTGGGTTCTTGGTTTCGGTGTCATAGGGATCAACATCTACTTCCTAAGTACAAGCTTCGTGGACTGGATCATCCATAGCAGTCTACCAAAGGCAGTCACAATTCTCGTCGGCATCGTCGTCTTCCCCTTCATGGCTGTCTACATCCTTGCCATCATCTACTTGACCTTCAGAAAGGATACTGCAGTGACATTTATCGATAAGTCTGATTCATCACAGATAGAGATGGAGAATGGTATGCGCCGTTCCGACGGTAATAGGGGAACTGAAGTTGTGCCATACAGAGTGGATCTTGCTGACATCCCTCTCCCAGACTAAATCTTTGAAGTTGATTGCCCAAGAAAGCTTTATGTAGTGTTATACTTGCAGTTGCATCAGCTAAAATAAGTAGAATTATGGCTCTTAGAGTTATAACTCTTTTGTTTGGTTAACTTGTCATTTTGTACCATATGTGGCTCAAAAGGAGAGATTGTTGAATATGGTTATATGTTTCTTTTAGTCTTGATGGAATTATATTTTGTCAAACTCAAGAACATGCAACAATTACAACATGGTTTGTAATATTCGGGGGATGGTTCCATATTAGTCATATGATGTTAAGCTATTGATATCAAGGTATCGACTACATAACGTCGAGTTGTCAATCACATAATATTAGAATATCGATTACGTTACCAATACATAATAATTATATTATACTAAAATATTAAATATGAAACTTGAGGTCTTACATTAGCACGATAGTATTCTTCATTCTTTCCAACATAATATCCTTCATTCTTTATAGGTTTTTGGTGCCCCTATTATGTATCATTATCTTATTTATACTGATGAGCATAATTATAATCATAATTATAATATTAATTTAGAGATTTATTGTGTTAATAGTATAATTTTACATAATTAAAATATTACATATTATTTAAAATTTAGATATTCAACAAGGCTTTGTTTCTTTCCATCCTCAGACCACGTGCAAGACACGTGAATATAATTTAGATTTCCAACACGGGTCTGCTTTATTCTTTCCGCCGAGCACGTGCAAGACACGTGTCCAAGACCTAGTATATTAGACGGCGAACACAGGTCTTGAGGGTGCGGAAGGGGTAGAACAGACGAGCCATGGCGTCCTCCTCGCTGGCAGCAGCAGAGGTGGCGATGAGATCCGGCGATGGAGTGGAGGGGGTGGAGGAGATGACCCTGACGGTGCGGTGGAGCGGGAAGGAGTACACCGTGAGGGTGTGCGGAGACGACAGCGTGGCGGAACTGAAGCGCCGCATCTGCGAGGTCACCAACGTCCTCCCCAAGCGCCAGAAGCTACTGTATCCCAAAATCTCCGCCAAGCTCAGTGACGATTCCGTCCTCCTCTCCCAGCTTAATCTCAAACCCTCCGTCAAGATGACCATGATCGGGTCCGTCCCCCTGACATAACCCTATCGCTTGCATGAGTCGTTGGTGGCACGTGTCCATTTTTGCCTCTCTGTTTGTCTGAGTATCATTAGTTCTCTGCAAAAGATACAATTTAGGTATTTGTGGTGTTTTGATTGCATCAAGTCGAATTTCGTTATAGTTCACAGATTATCTCATAGAAGTAGGTGCCACAGCATGATATTAAGTAGGCAACGTTATGAGAGGGTCTAAAGATGTTATCTTGTGATGTCTTGCCAAGGCCATCCTGTATGCATTTGTTACTTATAATTGACAAGGAAGAATTATTAAAAGAAGTAAGATAAAGGTTATTAACAAGTTTGAATAACATCTAATTTCACCAAATCTGTTGTTTTATTAATCTCAACAACCCATTGCACTCATTCTATCTATGAGCACATAGGAGAACGTTTGTTCTTGATGTAAAAGCAGGTTTTGGAAGGCAATATATGAGGGGATTATTTAAGCCATATAACTTTTGAGCTGACTACTTATTGGTCACTCATCCTCTAGCCCATGAACTTGGTATTTTATCCGTTGGCAAATTCAAACTTATTTTGGTCAAAAAGTTTTCTTAGTAGATGTATTACACAACAATTGCTGAAAGAAGAGGCGATGCTATGTAAGATGATTATTCATATCTAAATAAGACCTTTGAGTTTGCCAACCAAAAAGACTGAATTGTGCTCTGGCATTCTTGGTTGGCCTAATGACTGTATTGAGTGCATCAACACTCGGTGCCGTTGATATGATTCTTATACTGTACAATTATAGAAGATATTGGTATGGTTACAATCTGATATATCAACCCTGAGGTGGTAGGATTAGTTGGAACATTATTCTGGATTGTGATACATATTGAGCCACTTTTGCTAGTCATATTATATAGGATATTTGATCTTACAATAACTGTGCATCTAATTGAGTCAATAGTACTGCTATTACAATATCTAGAAGCTATAATTCATTGACGTTTTTCCAAGACTATTTAGTGCTTCTGTTTCTTAACTCTTCTTGTAAGATTATAATGTAGGAACATGATGGTATCTTATATATCTTTATATGGTTTATGTTAAAAAAAATCAACAATAACATGAGATTAGATCCCCATTTTTGACGTTCTAAACAACATAATAGACTAATCCAAGATATAGATGTATTCTGAATCAGGAACAGGGGATCGGAGTTATGATTCTAATGGGTTAGACGGATTCTGGTAACTATGTTAGATTTCCTTGATTTTGATGAACATGTATTCTGAAATCCCAAAAATATTTTTTGGCCTTGGTGAAATAATCCTTCAAATTTTTATTGTTTCTCTCCTATAATCAAGTTTGAACTTTGGAAAATGTAATATTTAGAATTACACTGCTCATTGATGGATGGTAAACACTAGTTGACGCTATCATGTTAACCATATACTTGATTATCTATCAACTATGGATATTCTTTTTTTTTTTAAAGAGAGAAACTTTGGGTTTACATTTCATGATATATCTTGTTATTGATCAAAGTATATTGAGAATCTTGCAGTTGTTCTAACACCTGTTGACACTATACAGTACTGTTGAAGATGACATTATTGTGGACCAAGCGGACTCCCCAGAGATTGTGGATGATTTTGAACTTGGTCATGATGAAGTCATTGACATCAAAGATAAATTTGTAAACAAACAGAAATTATTGCGAAGAATCTCTCAGCATAAGGTCAGTTGTTGGTGTACCTTGCAAGAAGTTCTGGCATTCCCATCTACTATCCCATCTACTATAATGGTCATTAGTTTCTATCGTCTTATATTTTTCCATCTAGCTATCTATTTGAATTTAAATTCTTTGGCTAAATTACAAGGTTTCCAATAGCATATATATTATTTAAAGTAACAAAGTAATAAGTTCACATAGAGAAAGTGCATTGGTAAATCAATGCAATAAAGCATTTCTGAACAAACACATAAACAGTAAGCTATGACTTCGTTGTATGTTTACTAATTGACTGTATATGGAAAAGGAAGTTGGAACTCCTGGGTACATTAAGGTGCCAATGTTGGATCATAACAGGGAAGTCTGAAGAAATGTGGAAAACAATTTTTTTTGGCTGAAAAACAAACTGAAAGTTCAAGATAGATTTAAAAGGCTATTTCACAATGCTTTCTGGGTTCAACTTGTAGCGAACTGAAAGATATCAAAATTGACCATTTTTGATATTTTAGCCTAAAAACAACCTGACTGGAACTGAAATTGAAAACTATGAGTCTTACATTTTGTGTGATGGCATCTGAGAATTATTCTGCCATTCATCTACTACCTAGCACTTTTAATTTTGTAAGTTTACTAGACACCTTGTAGTGCATCACCATTTTTTTCTTGTTTGGATTATTCTTTTTGTGAATTAATTGGCATCTTGGAAGACCTTTTTCTGAGATAGTGTGTTTTTATTTGCAATACCCTTGCATGAAGAACCCATTACTGTAAGGTGTTGCTTTTTGATGCTAGGGTCATTCTGTTATCTGCATGTAGTAATTTTTTCAGATCTCTTGTTGTTCACTTCCATTAGATCAAACTTTTGAACCCATGTCGTGAAGGAAAGAAGCTGCTCGTCTTAGATATTGATTATACCCTATTTGATCACAAGTCCCCTGCTGAAAATCCTCGTGAGCTGATGCGGCCATGTAAGTTCTTCATGACCATCATTTTAATTGGTTTTCCTAATGATGATTGTCATGAGGCGAACTACCATTGCAGATCTTCATGAGTTTCTCTCTGCTGTCTATGCGGAGTATGATATCATGATATGGTCCGCTACTAGGTATGACATTCTGGTGTTCGTTGTTGCAAACCTCCAGTCAAATCTGTCTTACAGTTTCTTCATTACATGTGATTTTCGAACGATCTAATTAATAAATTTAAATATAATTTCTTTTGTCAGCATGAAATGGGTAGAGTTGAAGATGGGGCAGCTTGGTGTTCTGAACAATCCTAATTACAAAATTACTGCTCTTTTAGATCACATGGCCATGATCACAGTACAATCTGATTCTCATGGGTTATTTGATTGCAAACCACTTGGCCTGATATGGGCTCAATTTCCTGAGGTTTTGTACTAAGATACTGTCCTTCCATTACTTGTTTCTTTTGGCTGAACAATTTAACATACTGATTTTGTGGATCTTGCAGTTTTATAATGCCAAAAATACAATTATGTTTGATGACCTTCGAAGAAATTTTGTGATGAACCCACAGAACGGGCTTACCATCAGACCCTTCAGGAAAGCTCATCTGAATCGAAGCAGTGATCAGGAGCTGTTGCGATTAACACAATATTTGCTGGCTATTGCAGATCTTCCTGATCTCAGCCAACTTGATCATAATTACTGGGAATTGTATGCTGAAGACAGTACAAAAAGACGCAGGCACAGATAGAGCAATTATGCTGATGGAGAAGTGTTCTTGGCTATATTTGAAATACCTGGTTTTATTATGTTGTCATGGCTAGGTCATTTATCAATATAACTTGTTTTCTCGGTGCTAACAGGCCATGCTCTTCAACCTTGTCTGAGGTTACTTAATCTGTAGAGAATGTATAAAACAACCCTGTGATTACTTTTCTCAAGTTCAATACTTTTTAAGGGTTGAATATCATAATCTAATTTTGGTTAGACAAATTCTTAAGTCATTTGAAGGATGGATAGTGATCTCACATTTCTATGTTCAAACCAAATTCTGCACTTGTCTTAATTTACTTTCCTCTGACTTGCTGCCTTTCGATTTGTCTGTATACTATTCGGTCTATTTTCTTTCATCTGAGATTTTTTTAATATAAAAAATTATAATATTTGAATATGGTTTATATTAGATTACAAAGTTGGACATTTGCTGGGTGTTCATAAAGAAATTAGTCAAATCTGTACAGTCAAAAAGGTAAATACCTTGTTTGTTTTATGATTGTAATTTGGATGGATAAGTAATGAAATATGATATTTGTGTATAAATTAAAAGTTTATTAGCAATAGTATGGAGAAGAAAAGTCATCATTTAAAACTTTTCTCAAGTACAAAAGAGTTGGCTTAATGCTCATATACTGCCTGAAGAAGTAACCCTTATATACTGATTTATGTTTTTGATGTTTTATCGCAACAGTTGTTGCAAGTACAGATTAAAAAAATTATTGAATAGAGTAGAATGTTGAACTTAAGCATAGCATTCTAGCAACCTTAAATTAGTCAACAATTTCAATGAAATTTCCATTTCTAGATTATTTCTGTAACTTGAAGGTATTCAACAAATACTGCTATACATGTTTTGTCAAGTTTTGCATCAAGTCAAAGCCCTGTGGAACTATCAACATGTAGATGCACAATTTCATCAAGCAAAGCATGGCAGTGCTGTCAAATCTCTTAGCATTCAAACTATGTGCCAGTTGCTGGTTTTAATTGCAGCTATTGGTCCTACTAATACTGAAGCCACTGGTTTCATCTCACAGATCATGTCATTGTCCTTGGCATGGTCAAAATGGGCATAGCAAATTGATTTAAGAAAGGCTTGAGATCAGTTTCCATACTCTGATGCAAGGCTGAGAGCAGAATGTGTACTTGATAGAGTGGCTTACAAACTCAGTCATCCCAAGGCCAATGTGGAACATTTGTAACCAGTGATTTATATGGTATCTGTTAGAGAATGTGAAACAGTATTACTAGTAATAAAAAATTTATAGAGATTTAGATATTTCAATACTTTTGATTTAATTAAGAATACTGCTTTTACAGACCTTCATGTAATTGGTCCAAATAGTTTGGATATAAATGTTGTTGATTCATGTGACATGATTTATCCTATAGTGTAACTTCATCTCATATTGTTTTGGGTGTTGAAACTTGCAACCTTTGTTGTGATTCAGTGGATGGGGGAGCATGCTCAGAGTATGCAAAATGTTGATACCTTTCCAATCAAATATGCAGTGATGGGAAATGGACAGAAGTTTGAGTTAAAGAGTGCCAAACTGAGGGGACATTTCTGGTCTTTTATTGAACCTCATTCTTTAAAGCTTCTGCTGTAACCACATGCCTTTGTCCAAACATTCCCCATGGTCTATATTTCATGCAATGATAATAATAATAACTCAATAGTATTGTAATAGTGGATTTTACATTTGTTTCATAGATAAATCAGTGAATTTACTTGTGAAGAAAATAACTTGAAGACAAACAACTTTTGAAGATTTTGCATGCATCACTTACCCAGCTGAAATGTGTATTTTCTTTGCAATAAATTGTGTGTGTGAGAGAGAGAGACCATTTGCTCTGGAGCTTCCAATCATGGAACAATAGCAAAAACCTGACAAGACAACAGAAGTAGAATCACAGAGATGTACAGAAAAGGAAGAAAAGAGGTAGCTGGTAATTGGTAATCTAATACAATAAGCTAAGAGGTCAGCAGAAGCCTGGCTGGCTTCCAAAGGTTTAATACCAAGTCAGTCAACATATCTATTTGCTTGTGATGCTTAAAACAAGAAGCCATCACTTTGATTTGTTCTCTTAGAGCTGTTCATTTTTTATTCTCTTTGATGTGTATGTTCTTTCCAGCTTCATCTGATAAAGAAAATGGGTGAAGGATGAACCAGTGGATATGGACAAGACACTGCCTTGTCACCAAAGAAATGCTGGTCTACTAGAGACATGACTTGGCTTCTCCTTTGTGGATGGCACAAAAGCAGGTAGAGGACAAAAATGTTTTCTGCAGTTCAAACCATTGCCTATGAAATGGTAGACATGACCACAGGAATTAGCTTAGCTGTACCTGCATCTTTGACACCAATATATTTCTCACTGCTACAGAAAGATGAACCTTATCAATGACCCACTTGCTTCATTGACAAACACAATTCTTCATGCCAATGCCTCTCCTGAGAAGTCTATCAAGTGAGTTTAAACAAATACCTAAGACCTAGTTCTGTTTCAGTCTATACCATCAGGCTCACAGCTCTTAGTGTTAACCAGAAGATGTCCATCAGACAATAATATAATGGCTGTGAAATATCATCCCTGCAGACGACAAAAAAGAATTGCAAAGATGTTAGCATGTAGAATAGTTAGTTAGGTTTGTGCTGAATTATGATGCTTTGTGCAAAATTTCCATATAACATGGTAATTAAATGCCAAATAGAGGACTTAGTGGTTGTACCAAATATGTAGACTCTGCTCTAAATTTATCAGACATAGAGTTAGTTAATCATGAGAAGAATTGTTGTATCAATCATAAAGTTGACTCTTCTGCCAACTAGATGAAGATGAAGGGAAATGAATGGGACAACTGGAATGAAGAGGATGAAGAATTTGCAGTCAAAGGAGCACTCAAGTAATGAGCAATGCTACATCCAGAAGAAATCCCACAAATCTTCCTGTGCTTTCTTTCTGCAAAGTAAATTTACATTCTAATAGGGTGGTAGAATACCAGAGAATCAAAGGCTGTGAATGGTATGCACATGGTAGGCCTGTAGAAAGCCCCCTGTTGGAGTCAATGCAGCACACAAACAAGCTTAGCAAAGAACATGAAGACAGGAAAAGCTATGTTTATTTATGCAGACAATCAACACAGGAGGAGGAGCTGACTGGTGTCATCATCAGAACAATGCTTTGTTAATGTCCATCATTACTCGCATGTAACCAAGTCTTTTGTAGACATAGAATTTATTGTGAGAACCAGACAGGTGTGCCTTATCTTTCTCCTTGTCTGGTTTCTCTTTGACAGGCACTAAATCTTTGTATAGAACATAAAGGAGCACCATTTGTGTTCCTTCTGTTCTATGAACTGGAAAGGGGAACATGAACCATATGATTGCAAGCAAACAAGAAAGAAGATGTAGAATACTAAATGCACAAAGCAGAAGACAAACTATCATTAGAAACAAGTTGGAAAAGGAAGGAAGAAGAAGAAGATTCCTACAAGAAAGAAGTTTGTCAAAATGCAATCCATGTGACTTGAGGAACTGAGAGAAGACAGTGTGCAAAGCATTTTACATGTTGAACTCAAGAACCAGTGTGTCTCATACTCATAAACTTTCTCCAAAACCAATAATGCCAACTTACATGGATAAACAAGACCAGAACATACAAATCAATCAACCAAAACAGCAGCATTTTACAGAAAGCCAGCCCTCCATGACATGTTCATTTTATTTCTTCTACCTACATCAGTAGAGAAGCAGGCAGAAGGCAGATCTTTATGTGGATCCAGTGGAGCTCTTCACCTTGTATCTGTAAAGGAGAAGCTTCTTCTTGGATGTCAGGTTTTCGACGTTTAGGACCACCTTACCGGGCTCTCCATTCTTGAAAGATCCTTTGATCACAGGCTCATCATCGGCGGCCAACTTCCTGTTCTTCTGCACGATCACCGTGTATCCGTCCTCTGCACTTGGAGTGAACTCAGCACCATAGCTCACCTCACATCCCAGAACTCGGAGTTCCCACACAATAAGGCATGTCTGTAGGGAGAGTATCCCATTGCAAGCAAAGGTGTTACTCGCAATCTATTAGAACATGACATTACACATAAGATTGTGAAGACAACAACGAATCTAACCTCAGTAGCAGGTATTTCTATGGTTTGCTTGGATGAGGGTTTAATGCTGACATCTGTAACAACATCGGCAGTGCTGAAATCTGGGTCTTTCTCCTTGCTAAGACCTCCAAATGCAACTGGGACCTGCTCAGGTGCTATGTATCTGTACCAAGAACATGAACAAATATGAGCTGCGATAATAATGGAGAGGAAGAGAGAGAAGCATTCTGATCTACACGGACTTGAACAGGGTCTCTGCCGATTTGGAAGGTCCGGCGAAGACAAACTTGCTCTTGGTTCTTTGTGTAAAGAATGGGCTCATCATCCTGTTGACAGCCAAGTACCACCATGGAACATTGATGAACACCTGTGAATTGGCACTCATAGATTCAAGAGCAATAGAGAAACCAATACAAATTAATGATCCAAGATGGTGTCCTCACCTTCTTGGAGATGAACTCGGGATAGTTGTCCTGGAGCAGAGTGACAGCTTGCTTCGTGACCTGCCGATGCTTCCCGAGCCGTGGTGAGTTCCTGAGATCAGTCACCTGAACCATGGAGGAGATGCCACCAGGAGTGAAGTCCAGGTGCTCCCTGATCCCCTTCTCCAGGTACTGGATCCTCCACTTGAGAAACTTGCGCCGCTTGTCCGCGTCGCCGAAGGCCTTCTCGTAGAGCTCCTTGTTCTGGAACTCGCCGTAGACATTGTAGCACACGGGGTGGCCTTCCTTGTCGTTGCCGTGCATGTACACGACCTTGTCCAGCTCCGGCAGTCCGAGGTCCTCCTCGAGGAGCGCCTCGATGCCGATTTGCTTCCTCCAGATGACGGCGTCCTTGAGCATGGCCAGGGCGTCCTTCACCTTGAAGTCGCGGGCGCGGAGGAACTTGAGGAGGACGGCGTCGCTCTTCTCGTCGCCCACGAGCGGGACCCTCCAGATGAACACCTCCTCTGGCGGCGCCGTCGAAGCAGGAGCAGGGACCTCGGCAGGCGCCTCCTTCGCCGCAGGAGAGACGTCCTCCGCGGCAGCGGACCCAACGGCTTCCTTGATGGCTTTCACCGTCTTGGCGGTTGCGTCATCAGCCGTGGCTGCCTTCTCCTCCGCTGGCTGCGAAGGGGGAGGCAAAGGTTCTTTCTTTACCGGTGAAGCGTGCTCCTCCACCACCTCCGGCTCCAGAGACCTCTCAGCAGGAGCCGGAACGGGCTCGGACGGCGGCTTCGACACCTCCACGGAAGCCGGGGCAGGAGCTTCAGCGGGCTTGGCTTCCTGAGCCGAAACGGGCTCGGACGGCGGCTTCGACTCCTCCACGGAAGCAGGGGCCGGAGCTTCTGCGGGCTTGGCTTCCTCCTCCTCCTCCTTGACCGGCGGCTCCTCCTTCGCCGGGGCGGGAGGAGGCGGAGGAGGGTTGAACTCGTTGTTGGAGAGGGCAGCCTGCACGAGCTGCTTCAGCTCGTCGAGGGCCTTCTTCTGGGGGTCGACGGGTTCAGCCACGACGTTGCTCTCCTCCTCGAGAAAGGTCGACTCGGGGACAGTGGCGGCGGCCTCGTCAGCAGGCGGGACCGCCTCCTCGGCCTCAGGTTTCTTCTCCTCAGCCTCGGCGACGACGACCTCGGCCGCCGGGGGGCCTTCGGGGGCCTTGGTCTCGGTTTCTTCGGCCATCGAGCACAGGAAGAACGAGATGGAGAAGGCTGACAGTAGTAGTAGTAGTAATATTATGAGAGTAGATGGAGTACAAAGAGAATGACTTGGGGTTTATATAACAATGGATGTTTGAGTCAGTGCTCAAGAGCCAGCTCAAATCTACACTTCTGCATGGGGTCCACTTTCACTAAATTTTCTAATGGATAATATTAAATAGCTACATCTAAATTAAAATTTACTCTATCAAAAAAATATTATTTAAGTGTTTTAGTTCTATTATGATAATTATAATAAATAGGATTTATTTTGATTAATGCAACTATAAGTGGTCACTCATCCATTTACTACAGTATATTCTATCATATAATTATCTATTTGATCAGAAAATTTTCATGCTGGGGAATAGAGTAGAACCTTAGTGGCTGTGAGAACAACAATGCCATCAAGGGATGTTTTGGTGCAGATAATTAATTAATATATATTTTTTTTCTAAGATCCAACAACATTTCTATTCTTGTCTTTTGTGTTTTCTTTGAAATGGGGGATGTCCATATTGATTAGACCTCATTACCAACATTTTATGGACTAACATTCATAGGTTAAAGGGAAGTGATAAAAATCAAGAGTTTTGTGGACTTGTTTTGTTTATCTTACAAAACAAGTCCAAAAATTACTCCATCTTTTATTTCATCTGTTAGCTTGCACTTTCAGAAGGACTAATAGGAGATTAAAAATTTAATGAGGATGGGTTTAAATTAGAATCTACACAAAAGAATGTTAATTACAAGTTCAACTAGTCTGGTATCAAAGTAGGAAGTAATCAAATTTAAGTTGAGAGTATAGTGCAAATTTGCAAGTAATCAAAGAACTGTTAATCACAAGTTTTTGCCAATGGTCACCAAGACAACATCCACAAACTTAGAGAAAGCTAAAAGCTTGTGGGCAAATCAAGGTTTATAGTCTCAGCTTAATTTCCTACAGCAGCAGAGAGAAAACTAAATTATCATGTGGAACTGCTTCAGCTATCCATTTGTCAGATTTCTTTGTGGAGCAGCACATCTTTAAGGTTTTTGATTTCCATGTCCAGCAGCAGATTTTAAAAGGATCATGCTATCAATTAGGTACCAGCAAATCAGCATATAAAACATGCATATCTGAGCTACTGACAGCAGAGAATCCAGGTTGTGACATCAGTTGTCTTCGGGCACAATTTGATTTAGAACTTGATGCTAACTTCTTGGCTCATTCCAGTTGGTAAGCTGAACTTTCCTGAGATTGCTTCAGATCCTTGGATTAGGTGTACATTATATTGCTTATGGTGTTCACAATTCTGACATCATTGGTAGCTGACAGGGTCTCATTTAGCTGTATCAATGAATGCAGATTTGAAGAGCAGTAGCAATGACCAAGTGTTGCACATGATAGACATAGAGTGTAATGATGTTGTAGTGATTAAAATTAATATTATTAAGCCACCTGTTGGAATTAAACACACTAAGTTCACAACCTTTCCTACCTACTTCTCTTCAGATATCCCTAAAAATGCAACCTACAACAATATTAGAGATCTTGACAACAGGAGCCATCTCTAATTGAGTTGTCTCATTATATTGTTCTTCCTACCTTGTAGTTGTGTAAAAGGTTGAAGAACATGTCCTGTTCTAAAGAAATAATTTAAGCTGGCCTTCTATTTGCCATGAGCTGGATGTAGTTGTTAAGCTGACAGGCTATCCAGTGATATGGTGCTTTGTGATCATCTTCACTCTTTTGACAACTACAGCAAAAACATCAATCATTTGTCTGGTGATGCAAGCAAGGCATTGGATCTCCTGGCATCTCCTCATGTATGAGATGGTATTAGGCTGGACCAACTAAACTAAGATTTTTGTTTTTGTTTTTCTTTGGGGGTCAAGAGATGGTTGTATGTGATTGATTCTGAAAAAGCCGAAATTGATCAAGGAGCTTAAGATGTTTGAGACTAATGTGGTGTGGTTCTCTGCATTAACATACACCCTGTAGATTGGTGAAGAAAGATAGGATGCTAATCAAGCATCAAATTCATTGCACCAAAATTTACATGCCAAGCCAATCATATAGAGAAATGTAAAAGATCAATCTCAGCTAGAGGAAATATTCAAACTCATTAAGGGAAATATTACTATTCTTGTTTACTTGCAATGGTAATCTGAACAATCTGATTAATCTTTTCAAGATGACCGGTTAAAGAGAATGGAATACATACATTTAGAAATCCAACTGTATTATGCATGATATCAAAATTTACTTTTATTGGACTGACCAATCCCAAGTGCACTTTCCTTTGAGCTAAAGGAGATCATGCTGATCCCACTTTAGCTTAATCTAAACTAGCTTTGAACATTTCATGGTATTCCTTCTATTGATTATTGTGTCTTGAAAAAAAGGGAAAGAAGAAAGAGCTTGTTATTTTCCATCAGAGAGAGAGATTAGTACTAAAACCAGCAAAAGGGGTGATTATCCCCACGAACAAAAAAGGTTAGCATTTTGATGTTGCTTTCTCTGATGGGTCCATATTTGATCCGTAGAAGCAGATACCAGTGTTAAAATGTGCCCCTTCACGAGTCAGAGCCTCAACCAAATGCCCGCCAAGAAATTAGAACCTAATCATTCCAAGCTCTTCTGATACTCCCACTGAAATGACTTCATTGATCATCCACTATGCACATGTATAAATGTCTTTGGCCACTTTTTCTGGTAAATTTCTGGATAACCAGTGTTCAAACACATCTATTATCTTTCATTTCTTCTAACGATCCACAAATCAAGGCGAGGAATCATTGACCTTAATTAAAGTAGAGAAAGAAAATGGCAAATCATTTACTTTGATTGTTAATTCTCTCTGTTTACAAGTGTTCTTTTGTTTAATTGTTTCTTTTCCATTATTACCATTTGGTACAAGGCAGAATACTGGTCCATGTTGTGGTTGCACACCAGTTGATCAGAATTTTCTTGTTACCAATGTTTGTTTTCATGGCAGCAACTCCCAAGAAGGTTTTGACACAAGCAAATTCTTCTCTTGGATTGCAACCCTGTTAGATCATGCAAGAGCCTTCCTGGAGTGTCAATGGATCATGGATATGCTGGATGTGGTGATAACAATGAGTCAATGACTGCGAGGGATAAGCATGGCAGCAACTCCTTATTTACAGTCTTGGGGAATTCACATAGGAAATTATGGAACTCCAACAATAATTATTAATATGATCCTCTTAGTGTTATGGAATCCTTGATATTAGGGAAACCACAAAAGGCCAGAATGATGGATGAACTCTTAACCTTCCCTGTGTTCTTATGATGAAAGCTAGAAATGGTTATGCTTGAGTTTTTGTCTAGTCAAATTAGTCAACACCACTAATATGGAGCAAACATAGGTCTTGAGAATAATACATGAATATATATTCCCCTATGACAGCGAACAACTGGAAGATGTCTTTATGGCTTATCGGAGAAGATAGGCATTCAAATATACGTGCAAAATTTCAGAAGCATCTAAAAGTATAATAACAACCAAGCAGCTAAAAAAGTACTTTCACATCTAGAGGCACCAAAATACCATGAGAACTGGGAAACTATGTCATAACAGGTTAAGAGAAGATACTTCTAATGCAGCACAAAAACAACCAGCCAACCATCTCTAGATCCATACCGCTGAGTAAAATGCTATGATGAAAACATGAACGAAAGTAGATTAAATGAACATATACATGATAAACATGAAGCACTAAGCAGTCAGAAATAATTGTAAATACATACCTGCAACCATGATAAGCGACTTGATACGCAAAGTCCCATGTGATTGAATCTTCAAAACCAGAGATATCAGATGAAAGAAGCACACTTGTCCTATTGTTATTCTTAATTACCCTCAATAAGGATGTATGAATCCATTCACAAGTTCACATACTTCATCATCAAGATCATCCTCAAATTAACCTGACTGCACAACAGCTGGACAATTACATTTTGACTTGGATGCATACACCGGCGATATAATCACCTCGGATCCAAACTGCAATATTAGTCATAAGATGGATAGTATTAGTTCCAGTAAATTAACTACCACAAAAACATAACAAAACATCTTCCTTCTTAAGGATACTCAATGATGTCATGGAAATAGTTAGAAATATTAGCACTATAAATAATTAACCATTGTCAGGTTTACTGTCATATAAGATGTATTTTTTTAATTTAACTTAACGAAAATAAAAAAAAAGATAAAAAGCTGGTAGGTCTATCACAATTTTAGCATCTCTATTAGAAATCTGGTGTTTTTTTAATACGATCTTATTTTGTATAATTGACCCACTTCTCTCTGCAAGGCAATTTCACTTCTAGAACCAATATTTCTAGTAAGTAAAACATGCTACTGAAACCATAAACACTATTGAGTATTGGATTGAGTGAATGTCTTCTTCCCATTTAATACAAAGATTCCCTGGCAAACATAAGAATCACTCTCTCTTCAGTTTCAGCAACAGCAACAACAACAACAGCAACAACAACAACAACAACAACAACAACAACAAGCCTTAGTGGCCCAACTTTCTGTTCGATTTACACCCTCTAAATTTCAGTATCCTGTTTTCTTAAGGAAAAGTATAATTTTTGAATTACAGAACAGTAAATTGGTGCAGATAAAACACATGCGCAACAAAAATATCTGTCTCGCAGAAAAGAACCAAAGCAAGACGTACGAGTATAGTTACAAAATATTAATGGAGATGACCACAAGATCGAAGAAAGATCCAAGCTTTAAGACAAAAATTCGAACTTTAAGATCACCAAGCAGCAGCAACCACAAGAAAGGCGGCAACTTTAACGAGTCCACAACAAGAACTAAAAAAAGGGCTTTTTCTTGCAGAGGAGGACTGGTCACCACAACGAAGCGGTCTCGGCTATCAGGAGGCGGCGGATTGGCGGCGGGAGGAGCTCAAGTGCGTTGCAAGAGGGAACATTACGGCGTCGTTCTTCGGATCGAAAGAAAAGAAATCTAGGATCAGTTTAAATGCCATTTACATTCTAAAAATTGTTGCAAATTAAGATCTTGATATTTCGTCAACCCAATCTTTTCCTTCCAAATCAAACAATGGGCGGCACTCCATATGAATAAGATGGGCGGAACGGATCCAATCTAACTTGGTATCGGTCGAAACTGATCCGCAACCCGCAATCCACAATCGAGCACTGCACCTCAAATGGGCTTGAGGATCCGAAACCCGATCCGCAATCCGATACCTTATTTCAGATTCGTCGATATATTGGTTTATCAAATCTAACCCGCTAATATGTCGCGATCTGCCCGTCTGCCCCTTACCCGAACCCGACCCGCAATAATAGGTATCCTTCTTCCCCTCGAAATCCCTCGTCGCTTCTTCAACCCTTCCCTTTCTTTCGTGTTCCTTCTCTCGGTTCTTGTTCTTGTTCGCGGCGAGATCGGAGGAAGTACTGACATAATTGATCGATTTGTAACGCAGATGCGGGCCTCTCTGTCCACCTTCCTCATGAGAAGGTTATAATTGCTTGGATGACATCCAGTTGGTTCTTTAGCTCTCGGTCGAGGTCTCATTTTCTATAGCTGATCACGGCTTTCTGGTCTTACACCCGGCAGGGCCGTGGGGAGGAATGTGTTGCGCGGCGTCAATTTTTTGCCCACAAGGTGTTTGTGCAGTGATGTGGCTGCTGGAGGTGGAGGAGGAGGTGCTAATTCTAGCCATGCCGTGGAAAGAGATGCGGTAGTAGGCCTCTACTTTGCCTTTCGGATATGTAACGTTTCGCTTTCGATATATTTCTCTATGAATGTTTCTTAAAGCTTTTGTCCAAAATATGTGTCCGAGTGATGTTTGTGGTGATGCAGTTCTATTTGCATCCTTTCTGATATGATTTTAGCTAAAGTTGAAGTGCATGAAAAAAGTAAATTATCTGAGAACTCATTTTTTTAGAAGTTTGTTGTGCTCATACCGTACTAGTTAGAAGCTTCTTGGATGTGTCTGATAAACATTGACGGTATCCTATTTATAAATAACTCCAAAAGACTTGGTCACTTCTGCGATAATTGAGATGTATTCTGTGTGTACGTCTCATAGATACCCTGTTCTTTTGTGCATGCCATCTTTTGGCAATTGACAAGATGAATGTATGTTTTATATGTATTGTTTTTCTTGACCATCTTATTGTGATTAGGAAAGTTAAAATGACAGTTTCATCTATTTTGTCAGTATAATACTATAACAACTTATTTCTTAATGAGTAGGTTAGCCATACTTGGTAATCATTTTTCATCATTGTAACTGCATATTCTAGCACTCAAGGTGAATATAAAGGAAAAATTACTTACCCATGCCATATCATTTACTTTTATGTGAACATTTGATCTGTCAGTCCAGTGTTGTGTATTATTGGCATCCCAAGCTTCATACCTAATCTTTAAATGCTTGTTTTGTTTGGATTTTTCGTTTGGAAAATGAAATAGCAAATTATGGTGTGATTGTCCAGGGCCATGAAGAGAGGGATGGTGTGACAACTAAGCAATATGATGTGGCTATCATTGGTGGTGGCATGGTTGGACTGGCTCTTGCAAGTGCATTGTGTAGGTATTACTATTGTCATGTAGATTTTCAAAATCAACTGTTTAATTTGTTTCCATCAATTTATCACATTGAACGAGGATTTGAACACCGATGGGGCCAGCACATAGCCACCGGTATTTGCTAGTCCAACCAAGTATCAGCGTCAAAACGTTAGCTTGATACTAACATAGTATATAAATTTTGAGTTTTTTTAATTATTTCATTCAGTGAAATCTAGCATTACAAATTGCTATACCTTTCGGTATACAGGTATCATTTCTGGTCGGATAGGTTACTGAAATCAATATTAGACCAGTCTTTAAATCATTGCTTATAATTTTTATATGTTGCATTTTGTGAAAATATGAGTGTTGCAAATTTGTTATTTCTAACCTAATTGGACTATTAAGTTGGCCTGCTCATCCTTTTGACTTGTGACAATTTGGCCACTCAATTTTCCTGATTGAGGGTTTGGTGTACAAAGATTGTCTCATTATTTTCCTTGTATATGTTTCTAGGCATTGGAACCCTCATTTTGAGTAATATCATGCCTTTGATATACAAACTTTTATGATAACATGGTATTATAAATTCACATAGGATTGCCTTATGTCCTCTCCTAATTCACTGGTCCATTTAAAATACTAAGGAGATGAAGGCTAGATGTATCTATGTTAGATTCCTTATTCCCAATGTTTTTAAGAGTTTAATAGTCACACAATTACTCTTTCGTTATGATCTAATTGTGTCCTTTTGCAGCAAGTATGCCTTTAACAAAGCATTTAAAGGTTGCCATTGTTGATCCAAATCCTGCACTGTCTCTGAGAAACTATTATGACAAGAGTGAGATGCCTGACTCAAGGGTTAGCACAATTACTCCTGCAACTATTTCGTTGTTCAAAGGTAATGAATTTGTTCCTATTCAATCTTGTCTCTGTTGTTTCTAGTTGTGTTGGATATGTTAGTTTTGTGCATCTTCTAGTCAATAAAATATCAGTATTAGACTACCTCTTGCTAAGAAAGTTTGTAAAAGTTCCTCAGTTCGATTTTCTTATATGTAACTGCATCATGATAATACCATGTTCTTAACTTTATGTTTTATCCTTTTTTGTTGCATTTAGTTCTTTTTAATGCTCAACAATGGGAAAATATCTGTAGCCAACCCAAAATATTTTGTATGGTAACTTCTTGTTGTTGTGCAAAGTTGATTGGCTCACTTTGATTTCTTTATATCTTTTCCTTCATGATCGTTAGCACTGTAAACTAAGCTTCCTCTCGTGATGCCAACATTCTGCTAGAGAGGCGACTAATTTTCTTCTTAATCTAGCCTAGAACATGTGTTTTTAAGATTGTCATGTGTCTTGATAAGATGGTCTGTACTATTTTACATGTTCCATGGGCTTTAAGTCTCTTGAATGATATCTTTGGGAATGGAATTTGTTGAAGGGGTAGAAAACGGAAAGTCTATGATACATGTCCTAGTAAGCAGTAAAGCATAAGGTAAACAGTGCTGTGTAACGGCACTACCAGAAGATGAAGTTGGTTGGAACCATAGAGTTTGGCATGGTGGTATGCAGTATAGGGTAGAGGGTCTGGGGTTTACTTCTTGGAGTCTTGACAACATTGAGGACTCAGTCATAATAGGACTTGGACTCTACAACTTTAAGGGTTAATTTGAGTAATTTTCTTATATAGAAATATCTCCATGGATTTATTCTAATTCTCAGCAGAATTAATTGTCTGCTGATAATGATGCCTGTCTAATGAGTTTTATAGTTGCATTAGATGGTTCTATAGACTGCTTTATTGTCAGTTGAAATAAACCTTGATGGAATTTGAAGCAGATTGTTTTCGTTGTTATCCTTGTTGAAAATTTTCTTCCAAATATTTTTCTTGCTTGAATGAATTATGATGTTTAAGAGTTTGATATAAATGAGCTTAATGATGAGATTCTAATTTATATTTTGATATTTTTATCTTATTTTTTGTGGCTTTTCTGTTAAATCTTATGCTGATATACTAAAAAACATTATGTTTACATCTCCTTTTTTTCAGTGGTTAGCACTTAACCTTCATGAATGCAAAACTTTATTTCTGTTGATTATCAAGTTAAATATTACACAATTTGAAATTTTGAACTCTTTTGTGCTATGTTTTCCATTTTAGTGGATTGATCAGAGGATCTATTATCTGCATAATTGTAACTAGGACTCAGTTCTACGAGTCTTTTCTTTTTGTAGACAACTGCTTTGAATGACGAATGTAGTTTTTAACTGGATTTTTTTTTAAATCCAATACTGCAGATGTTGGTGCTTGGGAGCATGTTCAGCAGCAAAGACATGCATTTTTTGATCAGATGCAGGTAATATGTGTAACTTTTCTTTGTCAACTTGAGCAGTTCTGTTTGAAAACTTTCTTATAAGTTATATTTGAATGGACTTAGTCAGACTATATCATGATATTGTCAGATGCCATTACAAGTTGTGCATGCATTGGATATATTGGAATGTAACATCATGACATATTTAGGAATGTTCTTTGTACTTACCAAAAAAATGATCCCCTTTTCACAACACAGCCTTCATGAACATGTATCATTGAAGATATAAAATAGTCTTGAAATACTTTTCTTGCTCCAATGAGTTTACAAAATAGCACCAAACAAAGTTTATAGTGGTAGGTCTGCTGTTTGTTCTTGCGTAGGTTTACTAACCCATTTTTAATCTCCCAATCAATATTATCAACATTGACAATTAGAGCAATTTCATTTATAGTGTTCATAAATATATGATAACAACATGATTTGTAAAGGTCAACATACTGTACACTCATCTTGTTTTTGCCTAGTCTTGAGCTGCTTCCTTTTGTTGTATGAAAACTTTGTCTTCATTAACATTGATGTCCTTATTATCTGATGTAACTGTAACATTTAAGGACTTAATTATCTCTGAACCTTCTGTTCCAGCTTATTATTAGGATCTTCTTCTGCTGCATCTTTTCTTCTTAGCATTTCACTTTTTTGTGTTAACTTCTTCGAACAGTCTGAACCGGTTGGTGGGAGTCTAGAAAGGTAAAGGTGATGCCATGGTATAAAAAGAAAATCATATTCAGTTCCATTTCTTCCTCTTGAATTTGATTTCTTGCATATTCACTTTATTATCATTTCATTGCCATTAGGTCTTTTTAGAAATGGATAATAATTTTCTCATAGTAGGAAATATAAAGGTCAGAAAAAATATGCAAATTTTTAATGAAGAAAGCTTCTAGACTTGCTACATTCCTTGTAGGTATGGGACTACACTGGTTTGGGTTATACGAGATACAATGCTAGAGATGTGGGAAAAGAATATCTTGGGTATGGATGCATTATCATCATTTAAATTTTAAGAATTTTTTGCTGTAGTTATCCTCTGATAATGCTATTTCTGACATTTAATCTAGATGTGTGGTGGAGAATAAGGTTCTTTGCAATTCACTTTTATTATCCTTACAGGTAAGTATCTTATATAGTTCTGTTTCTGCCAAATCTTTTCCTTTTTCTTTTGTTCATTTGCTGGAACAGTAAATTGTATGTATAATCTATTTCTCTTTTGCATAGATTTTCTTGGCTACAGCATTTAATATATTAATTTAGTGAGCAAAGTATGTAGGTAAATTGTATGAAACCTTGAAATGGAGAGCTATCTGCAGAATATGCTCAACTCCCTTGGGTAAAAGACCTGCTATATTTGCAAGTTCAGTAAATTGGAGTTTCTTTCTTCATACTTATCAGCCTAGAACTAGATGCATGCTGTAGACAATATACACTTCAGTAGCATAAGAATCTCATGAAACTCCTCCAACATCTCTAGCCCACCTGTATTTGCACTTTAATCTACCCTAAAGTCTGCCTTTCACAAATTTGCTTACCCAACTTCAGAGATTGTGGTAACCCCTATAAGGCCATGGCTTTTCCCCCCTTCTTTTTGAGGTTTCCTTTTAATTCTATTCAGTCTATATCGTTCAATATTGATGAATATTACCTTCTTTGTTAAGAAGTTTGTCACAGATTTGATGCATCAGAAAAGATTCGAAGATTAATATACTGACATGTGAGCATAGGAAAATATAATACTTTCATGCTGGATAAAGTGGTTTCTCAAACCTCGGTAGATGATTGTTCCAAAAGATATACAGAAGTTGTGTTTATTTCAAGAATTTTAATAGTATCTAGTTGTGTATAACCTGCCTTCTATCCTCTCTTTCTCATAATGTATCCCCCCATCTCCATCTTGTTTCTCTGTTTTCAGTTGTTGCATTATAGAATTTGATACTGCTTTCCTATGAAGCCTGCTACTTTTATTAGCCTGTTTAACTGTTTATTTTTTTCATCTCTAACTTGTTCTTTTTTATTCTATTTGCAAAACTGTGTTCTTAGTTTACTGACTTTCCCTGTACGAGGTTCTTTAGCAGGATGCAGATTCTAGAAAGACAATCATCCCTGCAAAACTAACCTCAATGACTTTACCACCAAAAAGCCCATCTTCTGGATCATCCATAGGCCATACTACTATGGATAAGTTGTCTGGAATGGCCAAGTCTGATGAAACTTTTGAGCAGATACAACTTAGACGATTAGCCAAACTGGAACTGAGTGATGGACAGCACATCTATTCAAAGTTGGTGGTAATTGTCAATGCCTGATTCCATATTTACCTGCACATATTTTCTGCTGTTGTCTCGGTACATTATCTTGCACATACTTCAACCCAAATTTCGAGGTTCATATTTTGATGTCTAGTATGGGTTTCAACATAGTGCATGTCGATATCACACTAAGTATATATGGCATGTCCAATGCAGGTCGGAGCTGATGGTGCTAAATCACATGTTAGGGAGATGGCAGGAATCAAGACAAGTGGGTGGAATTATTCACAAAGTGGAGTTATATGTACAGTTGAACACACTCTGGAAAATCATTGTGCTTGGCAGAGATTTCTACCATCTGGTCCAATTGCACTTTTACCTATTGGAGACAAATTTAGCAATATTGTATGGACAATGGGCTCTGATGACTCTACCAGGCACAAGTTGATGAGTGTTGATGATTTTGTAGAAGCTGTGAACTATGCACTAGATCATGGTTATGGTCCACATCCACAGTCGAGCTCTCTGGATCATTACATTGAGAGTTTACCATGGATCACTGGACCTGGAACACTATCCACTAGAGAACACTTTGAAGTACCACCAAAAGTAATTAATGTGGTCTCAGAAAGAATGGCTTTTCCTTTATCATTAATGCATGCTCATAACTACGCATCAAGCCAAGTTGTGCTTATAGGTGATGCAGCACATGCAGTACATCCTTTAGCAGGTCAAGGTGTAAATTTAGGATTTGGAGATGCATCAGCTTTGGCTAAGGTCATCGCTGAAGGCCTTTCACTGGGTGCTGACATTGCGGATGTAATCCCTAAACTTTCTAATTATTGCAATTATATAGTGAATATTATCAAAACAATTGGATGCATATTTGTCAAAGTATTTGCTATACATTAATGGCTAGTAGCATGGTTGGTTTAAAGATCTTGAAGACAAAGTTAAACATTAAAAAATGTGATCCGTGTGATGCATCCATCCACTTATAATATCACATTTTACATGGGCTCCTTTGTAGATAATAGTTTCTTCCTTTGTTGTCTTCTTTTTTTTGTATCTGTAATGCTCTTAGTGCATTTCCTCTCAGAATTTTATTTCTAGTTGAAATAAAAGTTTATTAATCTTTTTTTCTTTTGCCTGATTGTGGACTAATGTATTTATGAACTAAAGAAAACCACTTGTTGGAGGTTGGCCAGCTGGTAGTAGTTTGTTTAACATCTGTCTTTCTGTGCAGCTTGCCTTGCTGAAAAAGTATGAGAAGGAACGGAAGGCGGCAAACATCACCATGATGGCAATACTTGATGGTTTTCAGAAGGCTTACTCTGTTGATTTTGGGCCGATCAATCTTGTAAGAGCTGCTGCATTCCATGGAGCTCAATATATAGCACCACTCAAGAAGACTATAATTTCGTATGCTATGGGCGATAAAAAATGGCCTCTCTTTTCATGAGGAAAAGAAGAAAGCAGCGGATGCTGATTTTAGTTTAATGTTGCGCCACTGGCATAGACATTTTGTCATAATTTAGTTGATGAAGGTATTTTCTCGTCAGTCATATCTTTGTTCCCTTTATCACGGTGCTGTTAGTAGTGGCATTGATGGGTGATATTGATCAATTCTAACCTGAAGCTTTTGCAAAGTTCTAAAAAAGTGAAGCATTGGCTTCTAGCTTCGACTCACAACATCAGAAGACTCTTGTCAGTCCTCTTTTCATCTTGTTATCTTTGCCGATAAAACTTAATGTGATTAGGATGCATGATCAATTTTGATCTCAAAATCACTTCTGTTTTGCACTATGCTGCTAATTGTGATTATCTCCAAGATAATGATGTGAATGTGTGCTGATGTGCTACCAGAGTAAGTTTGACCTTTGGCAACTTTGTTGTGGTTGAGGGCCAACATGAGGTTTGGAATAGATGTACAAACCGAGAGTAATTGTTCCTTGCTGGATTTTTGATACTGCTTGAGATATCCACTTTGATTGAGAATAGGAATGCTCGAGATAGGCACAGGTGATCATGATTGAGAAAAAGGAAAATATTACACTCTTTATTGGGTTTTTTTATAGTGTAGTTCTTCTTGACCATACATATATTGAGGAAATTTTCAATTAATTCTTTTCTTTATTTTTCGTGCATCACATTGTCTAATGTTGTCTCCACTAAATCGCCTGTAGACTTTGATCAAGAAGCTCTCCAGGGCATGGCATGGCATGGTGAGAGGAACCCTAAAAGGAGGACCACAGACACATGCAGTTGTACTGTTTCTTTCACTGGCAACCGCTCTTGACCTTCCTCCCACAGCAGTCGTACTCACTGGTTCACGCACAGCATGCAGTTTGCTGCTCATGAGAGAAGAGAAAGAGATGCGGTGGCCGGCCACTCTCACGAGGCCTGTCTTTGATGTGGAACTTCAAGAGAAAGTATCATAGTCTTTTGCTGGTCCAAGACGACAGGTATTTGGCATATGAAATTGTGTCGAGCATTATGTCGAACATCTGGTGGCCATGGTTGGCGATTTTAGATATTTTCTAGGCTTTGGTCCTTCAAATAAAGAGAAAATGAAAAGGACAACCAAATGCATACCACGTTTTTTTTTTCCCAATAAATAAATAAATATTTTATTTATCATAAATCAAGCTTTATGACAACGAAGAAAAATCTTATGTGCAAAAAAAATGTTATCAATTAAGACTCATATATGGAATCCAAAATTAATGCTTGTTGGGTACGTATCGTGGTATCATAGAGAGTCGGACTAAATATACCACATTAATAAGATATTTAAAGTATGTATTTTTTTCACTAAACTGAATGGTTAGAAAAAATGATGCCATATAAAGTGATTTTTTAATGTTTGAATTTATTAGAAATTTACTCAATGAATACTTATGGATTCTTGTGATTGTTGGATGGTTTAATCATATGAATCTCTTTTGCAAGAAGTAGAATATGAAATACTTTATACCCTCGAATTAAGATAAGATAAGACATGTAAATTTATTATTTTTTTTATTTTCTAATATTTAGTGATCTTTTCTCTTCTAAAAGTGAATATTACTTCAAAAAAAAAAAAAACAAGTTGAGCCAATTTTGTCAAGTAGAATTAATGATCAGATTTGATCATATCAATAGCAATTCTTTGCATTTGTTGTTCACAGAACCATCATAATACAAGATCTAGTGATGGCTAATATAGATAATCTGAAAACCCCAATTACCTTAAGTTTTGGTCTTCTAAGATATAAAAGAATCTAATCATTCTAAAGGAAATTAATCCTAGACTTTTCATATTTGACATCTCAATAGGCACCTACTACATATTATGAGGAGCATAAAAATCATCCTACATCATGAGGACAAGGCTCATTAAATCTATTTTAAGTTCACATTCCTCATAAACTATGATTCCATTGTGTAGAACAGGGACCAAATCTTCAAAGGGAAAGAGATTGTCATCAAGAAGCCAAGTCTAGCCAAACTAATGGACCACCTCACTCTCCCTGCTCTCATGAAAGATCTCTGTTAGTTGTGTCTCCTTAATAGGACCACTGTGGTGGATTCATAAAGTTGGCAATCACAGTGAGAAACACCTGCATGGATTACATTGACCATCTGCAAGTTTCCCAACTCATGCACTCACCCTCCACAGTGAGTTCCAGTTTCCATGAGATACACACCACCATATGTAGTTTCAAACTTGTGTGAGAACTGTGGGTTCCAACTGTGTCTCCTCTGAACAGGACATCCAACTTCTGTGAACCAAAAAGTAGTGCCCTTTAGATGCATTCATGACAAAGAAACAGGCAGCTGGCATGTCATGTCAATTAGCATGGAGCCAATAGAGTAATCTCATGTGGTTTATGTTGATTGCCAACTTAACTCACAAGCAGTAAGAGTTTGGTCTGACAGTATAAATCAAATAAAGATTGTAATGGCAATAAAATGATGAAATATTGCCAAGTGGATTTTGTTTAAATGCTGTGTTAATGTACTGAAAACAATTAGAAGTTGATTAGTAGAAAATATTCTAACTTTAAAGAGACTCCTAGTCAAAGAGTTCATCTGATTTTAGGTTGGTGTATGAAATCACTATGTTATATTAAACTCCTCCACATGTTGTTTCCAGGTCTTTGGAAAAGAATAATTCTGTAGATTAGACTATCATCATTTACCATCTTGGCTAGTAATGCCTGCATCATGCAGATTAAGAGCCATAGCAATCAACCTAATTTTCCACTTGCCTTCATTTGTGCCACCTAATATTTTTTTCCACTTGGAAATAAAAGCAACCAATGATGACCCTTGAAAAGGGTTCACATGATTGAATGTACATGACCCAACTTTAATCTTCTTTTCTGTTCTTAGATGACTGACATATTATGTACTACATAGTGCAGGTGTGGAACAAGCAGGAAGTTATCAGAAAATAGCTCAGCAACCAAGGATCTTGTCTCACTAACATCCATTTATCAATTACTAGGCCCAACCATTCCCTCTATATTGTGCAATGGATTGCTAGTGTTTAAAAATGGTTTTTCTACAATAGCTTTGAATACTTCTCAATGTTTTTTTATTGTGGATAAAGTTTATGAGAGGAAAAGGAGATTATGAGATCCAAAAGCTTGATTCAAGGGACTTCTCTGAATCTGATGTTTGTGTGGTATTCCTATTTCAGTTTTCATAGAGTTGTTCATAAGAGGGAAAGGAGTTGCTGAAAAGTGCTTTAGTATCCACATAAAGGAAGTCCTAAAGAGGGAGACAGAGAGCTCACCTTTTAACAATTTATGTTGACTCAAATTGCTTATCTGAATCTGATGCTTTATATGGATTTTCTCATTTAGTTTCCATGGAGTTTGTAAGAGCGAGAGGAGATTATTTGAAAAGTGCTCTAATTTCCACATAAAAGAAGTTTCCAAAAAGTGGCACAAACACCTTGTCTTCCACAATTTATGCTCACTCAAAGAGTTTGTCTGAAACTGAAGTTTAATATGGTTTTTGCATTGAGTTTTCATGGTGTATTAGGGGAAAGGAGATAATATGAAGAGTGCTTTAGTATCCACACAAAAGAAGTTCCAGAAAGACACACAAACATCTCATCTTCCAAATTGTATGCTGACCTCAGTAACTTCTCTGAATCTGATGTTTAAAATGGTTTTTCCATTTAGTTCTCATAGAGTTTATAGAAGGGAAAGGAGATCATCTGAAAAGTGCTTTGGTTTCCACACAAAAGGATTTTCAAAAATGACACACAAACACCTAATCTTCCATATTTTATGCTGACTTGAATGTCCTATCAGAATTTGATGTTCAATATGGTTTTTCCATTGAGTTTTCATATTATTTATAAGAGGAAAAGGAGATCATCTTAAAAGTGCTTTAATGTCCACACAAAGGAAGTTCCAAAAAGGACACACAAACACCTCATCTTCCACATCTTGTGATGACTTCAATGGAAAGCAGACCATGCTAAAAGTGCTTTAACATCCATACAAGAGAGGTTCCAAAATGACACACAAACACCTCATCTTTCACATGTTATGTTGACTTCAATAACATGTCTGAATCTGATGTTTAATATCATCTTTCCATCTAATTTTCATAAAGTTTTGTAGTAAAGAAGACTAGCTGAAAAAGAAGTTTCAAAAAGACATACAAACACCTCATCTTCCACATTTTATGCTAACTTAAAATGACTTATCTGAATTGGATGTTTAATATGACTTTTCATTTAGTTTTTCACATAGTTTATAAGAGGAAAAGAAGATTATCTGAAAAGTGCTTCAATATCCACACAAACACCTCATCTTTTACATTTTCTGCTTCTTTGAATCTGAGTTTTAATATGCCCCTTTTTCCATTCATAAGAGAGAAAGGAGGTTATCTGAAAAGTGATTTAATGTCCTCACAAAAGAAGCTTCAAAAAGACACACAAACACCTCATCTTCCATATTTCATGCTGACTCAAATGAATCCTCTGAATCTGATTTCAGAACATGAGAAACAGATAACAGGCAATGGGTAGCTGTTGTGTGATATGATATTGGATGGCTACCTACCAACCCCCAACTACCACCTTTTCCTTTCCAAATGCATCAAATGCAAACAAGATGTGCTCAAGTAGGTGGTGAGGATCCCATCATGGACCCCATCCCACCAATGATTGGTGTGGAGGTAGCAGGGAAAGGAAGAACAACAGAGAGATTGGACTGTAATCACAAGTTGGAGGAGAAACTTAAAGGTTGTATTCTCTTAATTTAATTAAGTATATATATCTTTTTATAGATAAAAAAAATTACATGTACTCAATTTCAAATAATTTAATATTAGGGTCCTATTTTTATATATTATCAAAAAAACAAAAAACATTTTTATATTGAGAAAAACATTAAGTAAAAACAGTAACAGTGCAAGAGAGAATATGTTTTGCAACACTGCTTTATTTTCTCCCTACAAGGAAAAAAAACACTACTTAATTTCTAAGTATTATTTGCATGCATCAATACACTTTTAAAAACTTATTATGATTATAATAATATTATGAGTTTTTAGTTATATTAAAATTTAAAGGGACAAATATATTATTGTTTCCAAGCTTAGGAAGGATGACAGTGTTATCTGAAAGATAACAGTAAATGAGTGTGGGATTGAGCAACGTAGCGTAGACACATCACATGCTCTCCAACATGGAATGACAAGACTCTGTCATACCAATCTTTGTTTGCATCATTGCATCAACAACAAATGCAACCAAAACATTGCCAAATTCTCCACATCCTGTAACAAAGAATCATCACCCTGCAACATGGTTAATCACTCTGCTGCAGTGGTCAAACTCCATCAGTAGCCATGGACAAACCAATCAATGTGTTGCTCTTCTTCTTCTTCTTCTTCTTCCAAGGATCTATGGTATCTGAGAACATGGCGGATTGGAGTCGCTTGGCAGCTGCATGCTTCACTGGCTTGCAGACCCAGATGGCAGCACAGACAGATGACCGGAGCGCATGGTGGACCTGACATCGGCGTCGCCTCCGTGGCCTCCGAGCAAGGAGGGCTTATGGAGAGGTCGAGGTTGAGGTCGGGGCAGCGCTCGTCGTCCATGCTTGTGACGCTGCTGTGCCCGTCCTCGGCCAACCCGGTCGACGGTGGGTTCACAGTGGCTTCGTCGACTGCCACGGGGACGCCTCGTGGGCGAGAAGGATTAATGGCGAGGCCAGCGCAGCCGTTGGCCGGGCCGTGAGCCTGAGGGTCGACGCCGCGGCCGATGAGCTTGCGCTTGATCTGCGTGTTCCAGTAGTTCTTGATCTCGTTGTCCGTCCTCCCCGGTAGCCGGCTGGCGATCAGAGACCACCTGAGACCAGGAACGATCAATGTCGTCGTCAATCATCATGAAGCTCTAATGAACACAGCAAAAGAAGAGTGGTGGGTGGTGTTGCCATACTTGTTTCCAAGCAACCCATGAAGCTTGATGATGAGCTCGTCTTCGTCCTCCGTGAAGTTGCCGCGCTTGAGGCCCGGCCGCAGGTAGTTTATCCACCGAAGCCGGCAGCTCTTGCCGCATCGAAGAAGGCCTAAAAGAAAGATCCAGTCATGAAGACAGAAGCATATGACAGTGCTAAGGGAGACCTGCAAAGTGAGAAGTCGACCGACCTGCCGCTTTTGGGAGAGATCTCCAGCAGCCCTCGCCATAAACTTTGATGTAGGCGATGAGGCGTTCATCTTCCTCCTTAGTCCATGCTCCTCTGTTCGTGTGAGCCTTCTCGCAACAAGGAGACCTGCCCATAGTGGTCTCTCAGAGAGAGAGAGAGAGAGAGAGAGAGAGAGAGAGAGAGATGTTGGTTCCTGTTCTCAGG